CGGCCCCTCACACCGCCGGGCCCGGCCCGAGCAACCCGAGCTCGGGAGAAACGGCGACTTTGGGAAAAGCGCAGCTGGGAACCCGAGGGAAGCGTGTGGGGAAAAGCAGCGGCTTTGTGAAAAAGCTGGCTGGTTTCACGCCGCGGGGCTGTGAAAAGTTCCTGAGGAAGCGGCTGAGGCGGCAGAGGAGCGGCAGGACTGGGGAGAGCGGAGGGTTTGGGACGGCATTAAAGGAAACCCGGCAGGATTTGGGACAGCGGCAAAGGAAACCCAGCGGGTGTCTGAGTGGATTTGCAAAGAAAAATAGCCCAAGTGTCAAAAAGAGCGGGTTTTCAAGGAAAAATAAAGTTCCGAACCGCGTCGGTGAGGAGGCGAGTGCCGGAGCTGCGAGGACAGGTTGGGTTGGATTTCGGCTTCTTTTATTTATTCTCCCCTGCCCCCCCCTTTTTCTTCTCCTTTTCTTCTCATTTTTTTTTCTTCTTTTTTCTTCTTTTTTTTTCTTCTTTTTTCTCTTCTTTTTTTATCTTCTTTTTTTTTTCTTCTTTTCTTCTTTTTTTTCTTTTCCCCTTCCATTAACTTTTTCTTCTTTTCATTTTCTTTTTCCTTTCCTTTTCTTTTTTATTTTTTCCCTCCTTTCCCCCCCCCTCCTCTTTTTTTTTTCCCCCTCTTTTTTCTCCTTCTTATTTCTTCTTTATTGCTTCTTCCTTCATTTCTTGCTTCTCCTTTGAGGCTAAACCCTGCCAGGCTGGCAGCAAACCCAAGGCCTATAAAAGTGTGTTATTCACCAATGATCCATTTTTCCAACGTGAGCCAGCACCCAGAGGAGCCACAGCCCTGTCCCTCACCCAGATCTGATGTTATTAATCCCGGTGTTATTAATTTTTCCCTGTGTTATTCCCTTTTTCCCAGCGTTATCCCGGCGGTTCCATGGCTGCACGGCGCTGGAGTGGTCTCCCCTTTGGGAATCTCTCTGATTGTCCCAATGGATCCCGCTGGATCATGGATGTGTTCAATGAGTGTGCCCAGGACAGCCGGGATGTCGCCAGCATCATCCTGGGGCTGGGCTCCATCGCCTGCTTCATCGCTGCAGCCTTCCCGTGAGTACTGCTCCCAAATCCCTGGGTACCACTCCCAAATCCTGGAGTACCACTCCCAAATCCCTGGGTACCGCTCCCAAATCCTGGAGTATCGCTCCCAAATCCCTGGGTACTGCTCCCAAATCCCTGGGTACTGCTCCCAAATCCCTGGGTACCGCTCCCAAATCCTGGAGTACCATTCCCAAATCCCTGGGTACTGCTCCCAAATCCCGTGTATCGCTCCCAAATCCTGGAGTATCGCTCCCAAATCCCAGACAGCCCTTTCTGGGGGATGGCAGAATCCGAGCTGCCAGCACAAGGTGCCAGAATTCTTAAATTCCCTCCCCAAAGCAGCGAGGGCTCGGCAGATTTGGGGTGAGGGGAGCAGGCAGCACAGCCCCAGAGCCTGGTGGTGGCCGTGGCGATGTTGCCGTGTCAGGAATGTCGCCGTCAGGCACGTGCAGGGCGGGCAGGACAGGTCACACTGCAGAAGGAATGTCCCCGTGGGGTGCTTGGAAGTGCTGACACCAGGGTGGCTGAGGGGGCACGTGAGGAGCCACGGTTCTTTCGCAACCGGAGAGAAGCCGGGGATCATCTTCCCTGCTCCTCCCACTCGGTGACCTCCCTGGGGCCACGGGAGCCTGTGACCTTGCTTTTCCCGCTTGGGGATCCACAGGAATCCTGGGGACGGCTCCCAGGTAGCGCTGAAGCAGCTGAGGGTGATGTTTGTGCCTCTGCCCAATGCTCTGCAGGCAGTTTTACCAGGCCTGCAGGACGGGCATCATGGACCAGGCTCTCTCCATCTATTTCCTGCTGGGATGGCTGGGCGGAGACCTCCTCAACCTCATCGGTTCTTTCCTGGCTGATCAGCTGCCCCTGCAGGTACCGGGCCGGGCTGGCTCCCAAACACCCCGGCTCCAGGGAGGAGGAAGGGGCTGGAAGCTGCTTTATCCAGCATTGCTCCGGATGTCCCTCCAATCCTGGAATTGCTCCCTTTCCTCCCCCAGGAAAGGGAGGAGGGAAGAAGGGTGGAGGAAGTGGAGGGTGTGGTCCACTCTCTCCCAAGGATGCTCCCTGTTCCCCTCTTGGTGCTTTCCCTTCTCTCCCAGGGTTGCTCCCTTCTTCACCCCCTGAGTTACTCCTTCCTCTCCCTCTGGGGCTGCTCCCTTCTCCCTGCCAGGACACTCCCCTCTCCCCCAGGGAGAGCAGGGGAGCAGCCCTGTGGGACCAGCCCGGCCCAGCCAGGTCCCCGTGGGTGTCCCCAGCACGTCCCCTCCCCGCAGGTGTACACGGCCATCTACTACGTGCTGGCAGACCTGGGGATGCTCTCCCTCTACTGCTACTACCGGGTGAAGAACAGGGGCAGAGCGTGTGAGTTGGGGCAGGGCTGGGGACAGAGAGGGGGGGATTCCAGGGGGCTCTGGGAGCCCGGGGAGATTCCAGGCACAGTAATTAGATGCCTCTTATTGCTTGCTGGTTTTGTTTTCGGGTTTTTTTTGGGTAATTTGAGCTCCTAGGAGAGCGAAAGCCAACAGTTACAGGCTGGGCTTGGGGCTTCTGCAGACCCTGCAAGCCTCCTCACGGTGTCCAGGCTGAAAACAACCCCCAGCATGAGCCTCACTGGGCACAGAAATCCATAAATCCCTCCCAGTTACACGGTGACTCCACCTGGGAGCTGGGAAGCACAGAACTCCTGACTCAGGCAGTGCTGGGAGGGAAAGGGAGAAGTTTTCTGCCTGTTTCAGGGTCAGTGTTCCACCCTTGACAGGGAAGCTCCTGGGGTGAAAAGGGAACCTGAGCAGCTCTTGCAGGGCTTAAACAGTGAGAGAAAACAGAAAATCCCCTTTCCAGCACTGCTCCTTGGGACTGGGATAATTATTTAACTTGGTAAAGACATGTAAAGTGATCAACCAATTGATATTTGACCCATTGTTAAGCTGAAGAGCTTGTTTATTGAATTTAATCACTAAAAATTACTGAAAAATAATAAATTACTACTAATAAATTAGCCACAGCAGGACTTGCTCTGGCAGGGATTTGATTTAAGACAGTGAAATTTTCTAGTGGGGATGATTTTTAAGAGCCCTAAACCCAAAGAAGCCGAGATAGGAGCAGTTTCCTCCCTGATGAGGTACAGATTGGGCACATCACTGGAGATAAATCACAGCAAGCAGCCTCTGCCCCACCCCTTGGTGAGATAAGGGAGAGTTTGGAGGTTTCTTCAGCCGGGGCTGTTGCTGGGTTCTCCCTAACCAGGCTGTGTCTGACTCCCTGCAGTCCCTGCTCCCATCAACTCTGCCTTCCTGTTCCTCTCCCTGGGGTCCCTGGCCAGCCTCTCCCTCCTGGGCAGGGCCAGCACCCAGGAGCCCGCTGCCTTCAAAGGGAGATCTCTGCTCTCAGCCCCCGGGGATGAGCTTGGAACAAAGGTGAGCCACTTCCTGAACCTGGGAGATGGGATGGAGGTGTGGGTGGGGACGTCCTGCTGGATGCTGTGATCCCAAAAATCCACCCTGGACCCCACCACGTGTTTTGGGGTTAGGGGCTGTTCCTATTTTAGGACCAAATTGTTCTTTGGGAGACTGTTACATTCTAGGAAGGTGACACTGGAAAGAGAGCTCTTTCCTCCAAAATTCAAGAAGAGTTTGCTGCAGGATTTCTGACATTTCAGGGCATTTTCACTTCAAGCACTTCTGTGGGCCTGCTCAAGAGTCAGCAAGCCTCACATTTCCCACATCTCTGTTTGCACACAGACTTTATCTCAGGTAGCTGCATAGGATGGACAGCCTCCAAAAAAATGTGGTTCCTCTTCTCAGGAAATTTGAAAGATTTCTCCCCTTTAATTCTTTTTCCAGTTATCCACATTTATATATATTATTGAAAATCAAGGGAGTGCAGTAAGCTAACTCAGCTGGCTGAAACTGAGGGTAGGTTTGCAAAATAATTTTGCTCTGGCAATAGAAAAGGACCTCTCCGAGCAGCGCAAATAAACCCAAATCCCGTTAAAACAGATTGCACTGGCTATTTTCCTGTGGCAGAGTGAAATAGAACTATCAGCTGTAATTACCCCCGGGCTGTCCGAGGAGGGCACAGGCGGCCTGGGTGTGGCCGTGCTGGGGCTCTGAGCGCGGGGGCTGTCCCTGTCCCCGCCCCTGCCTTGCAGCCTTTCTCCAGGACTGAAATCATTGGATTTACCATCGGCTCCATCTCCTCCGTGCTCTACCTGTGCTCCCGAGTGCCCCAGATCTGCACCAACGTGAGTGCCCAGCCCGGGACCCTGGGGCTCCTCTCCTGTCACTCCGAGGGGGCTGGGGATTCTCCTTTCTCCTCTGAGGATTCTCCTTTCTACCCTGGGGATTCTCCTTTCTCCCCTGAGGGATTCTCCTTTCTCCTCTGAGGATTCTCCTTTCTCCCCTGGGGATTCTCCTTTCTCCTCTGAGGATTCTCCTTTCTCCCCTGAGGATTCTCCTTTCTCCCCTGGGGATTCTCCTTTCTCCCCTCGGGATCTCCTTTCTCCCCTGAGGGATTCTCCTTTCTCCCCTGGGGATTCTCCTTTCTCCCCTGAGGGATTCTCCTTTCTCCCCCTGGGGATCTCTTTTCTCCCCTGGGGATTCTCCTTTCTCCCCCTGGGGATTCTCCTTTCTCCCCTCGGGATCTCCTTTCTCCCCTGAGGGATTCTCCTTTCTCCCCTGAGGATTCTCCTTTCTCCCCTGGGGATTCTCCTTTCTCCCCCTGGGGATTCTCCTTTCTCCCCTGAGGATTCTCCTTTCTCCCCTGAGGGATTCTCCTTTCTCCCCCTGGGGATCTCTTTTCTCCCCTGAGGGATTCTCCTTTCTCCCCTGGGGATTCTCCTTTCTCCCCTGAGGATTCTCCTTTCTCCCCTGAGGATTCTCCTTTCTCCCCCTGGGGATCTCTTTTCTCCCCCTGAGGATTCTCCTTTCTCCCCCTGAGGATTCTCCTTTCTCCCCCTGGGGATCTCTTTTCTCCCCCTGGGGATCTCTTTTCTCCCCTGGGTGTTCTCCTTTCTCCTCAGGGAGATCTCCTTTCTCTCTGCTCAGAGGTCCCAGGCCCCATCTCTGATTATTCCATAAGGGACTATTTCTCTGTATTTCTTTTTCTCCACTCCCTTTAACCTACCAATATTTTGAGGGTGAAGCTTTCATTTTGTGTTATTTACAAGCCAAGGGGGAACTAAAAAACTCTCAGCTCTGTCACCACTTCTCTTTTTTAATGCTGGGAGAGAGGATGATTAATATCACGCTGTAGAGAGATTTAGGAGAGCTGCAGCCAAGCTCCTCTCCCTCTTTCCCCAGTACAAGAGGAAATCCACCAGCGGTGTCTCCTACTCTCTCTTTGCCCTGGTGATGCTGGGGAATTCCCTGTACGGCCTCAGCGTCCTCCTGAAGAACCCAGAGCCAGGCCAGGGCCAAGGTGACTACATCCTGCACCACCTGCCCTGGCTCGTGGGCAGCCTGGGCGTCCTGGCCCTCGACCTGGTTGTATCCTTTCCCCTGGGCTGGGATCCCAGCCTTGTGCTCCTTGCAGGGAGTGGAACGGGCAGGGCAGGGGAGCTGCTGCTCTGTGGGTGATTTGTGGTGTTGCACTGGCCTCAGCCCCTGGTTTGCATCCATCTCCTTGTCCCGTTCCCACCTCTCCTGGCACAAACTCGGGGTGGTGACACAGGACCCTGAGACCCACGCTGTGAGTGCAGAGCCTTGACCTGTCCCCAGATCTCCTTCCAGTTCCTGGCGTATCGCAAAGGCCGGCCCAGATCCCTGGAGGAGAGGGATGCTCTCCTTGGGGAGCAGGATGAGAGCCCAGAGAGCTGACAGAGGGCCCTGCCCCACAGGGAGATGAGGAGGAGGAGGAGGAAGGTGGCCTTAGGGCCGGGCAGACCAGCCCCTCCGTCCTGGTGGCTCCTGGCAGAAGAGGCCCCCAGCCCGTTGTGCTGCCCAGGCGGTGGCAGAGGACACTGCTGGGACACCTCGTGCCTCAGCGGTGCTTTCAGGATAAAAGGGAATTTTGGGGTGGCTCAGTTGCTCTTCCCTGCTCCGGTTCCCCACAGCTGAGCCCGGTCACGGCTGCGTCTCCCAGGGGTGATCTGGGACTTCCTTGGTGCTGAAAAGCCTGGGGAGGGACAGGGATGACTGACCTGGCACAGACACGAGCACCGCTGTCACCTCACAGCTCCCCCTCAGCTCCTTCTGGAAAACACCCCGGGCTGGATCCAGGGGGGAAGGAGCTGCAGAACCAAAGCCTTCAGTCCACACCTCTTTTAATTAGCACGGCTCACCCACCTATAAAACACATCCTTCCCCACCTGCCTCCCTTGCTTTCATTTTGCTGCTTTACCTGGCAGCTCCTAACGAGTCTCACACTCCCATTTCTCTGACTCCTCATTTTTTGCCTCACCCATATTTTAATTGCACGGATTCCTCGGGGAAGTTGCTCCACTGCTGTTCCCCAGCAGATGAGCTGCCTCTGCTCACTCTGGTTTTCAGTTCCTGCCCTCTCTCCCTGATGAATTTATCAACTTGATGAATTTATCCTCAACCTGTTGAGTTCATCCCCAGCACTGATGAGTTTATTCCCCTCTAGGGGCCCTGAACTCGGCTCAGGGAAGGGTGGGAAGCAGGGGAGAGAGTGGAGGTGTAGCCAGGCTCTCTCCTGTGTGCTGAGCTCTTCCTGCTGGGCATGAGCAGCTCAATCTCCCTGGGAAAAACCAACCAAAGCTTGGACACCCTTCAGGAAAAACTGTCACAGCTTGGCCTTGTGAAAACAAGAGTTTTCCTTTTCCTGAGTTGCAATCAGCTCTTCCTTTTGCTTCCCTTTGCCCTTTCCTGCTCCCTCCCTGATCCCCAGCATCGTGTCCCTTTTGGCTTTGGCTGAATTTGCATTAATTTGTGATTCCTCAGCCAGTCCATGACGTTTGTCCTTCCCAAGGAAGTTGCTCTGCTTTTTGTCCTCGCACTGAGGACCCCAACCCAATGGATCTCACATGAAATGGGGTTCCAGCTGCTCAGTGCCCACCTGCCCAGCAGCAGGTTCACTCAAACAAGCTGGGCCAGGGCTGGGGGCTGAGCCAGCTGTTTTCAGAAAGGAAATGCAGATTTCAGTCTCTCTGAGCCCCTTGAAGTGAGTGGGTTTTTACTGGATTAATTCACCATTCACAGGCATTCACTGCTCACCTCATCCTGAAGCCAGCAGCATTTCCCTTCCTGTCTTTCCCTGGGAATTGTAGAACAATTCCTGTCCAGTTTTAATCATGAGCAAACCCCTCATCTCTGCCCCTCACAACACTGAATGATTGTCACATGCTGGCTTTTCCTGAACCTGGACAAAGCAGCTCAGCCCTGAGGAGGAAAAAGCCCATTTTCCATCTGTGTCTGTATTTATCTGTGTCACACTCTGTCCCCACAGGTGTACCCAAAGCAGGAGTCAGGTACAAAGCTGATTTACTCTGACTTTACTCAGGCTGGGCAGGATGGAGCAACACAGAGCTTTACACACCCACACCCACCTCAGGAGGGGCTGGGAGTTGCTGAGGCTCCCCCCGAGGTTCCCATCCCTCCCCAGCCACCGCTGCAGCCCTGTCCCTGTGCTCGGCGTTCTGCAGAGCCAAATGTTCAAGCAGAAAAGGCTGAGCAGGAACAACCAGCCCCGAGGGAAACTGAGAACCTCTCCAGCAGTCTCCAGCTTCAGGGGAGGTTGGTGTTGGGACAGAACCCTGAGACAGCAGCACAATTCCAGTGTTCCCTGGGGAATCCCATCCTTTCCCAGCCCATGTCCCTTCCACAGGCTCTGGGTCAGCTCTGCCCACCTGCAGGAGTCTGGGTGCGACCCAGCTCACGGGAACAAAGCAAATTAGAGCACATTAATTAATCAGTACTAACTAACACTGGGGGCAATTCTCAGAGCCAGGGCAGCAGAGCCTGGCAGATCTTCATGGGCTTGAAATGAGGTTTAATACAACCAAACCTGGAGCAGGCAAAGCTGTGCCAGGTCCCTGTGCCCCAGGGCCCTGGAGGGGACACGGGGAGCAGGGAGGAGCTTTGGGGACAGCACAGATGGGAGGAAGCGGCCACCCCAGCACCCTGCCCAGGGCTGGACACACAGGAACCCCCCAGGCTTAAATCTGATATAACTGGGATTGAATCAGGATAAAAATCAGGATTTTTTTAGCACACCCAGCACAGCCAGGCAGATCCTTCTCCCCTAAATATAAAATATATCTATAAATCTGGATATAAATCTGCTGGGTGCCTGGAGCATCCCTCAACCCCAGCACCTTGGAGAGGCAGCAGGGCCATCACACCCCCTTCCAGACAAACATTTCTGGATGTGGGACAAAAAACAAACCCCAAGTGACCCAAGGAAGGAAAGAGAAACAAGAAGGACACAACCACACATGCATCTTCCTGGGATTTTTTTGGTTTTTATTGTTTTAGTCTTTTTTTTTTTCTTTTTTTTCTTTTTTTCCATTTTTTTTTTAGTATGGAGGCTCAAGTATCAGATGTAGATTCAATTTAAGCTTTACAAAAAAAACAAAAACAAAAAAAAAAATCAAAACAAAAACCCCTTTTGCATTCCATAAAAATTGACAGAAAAGCGCCTTGGAACCAGGCTATAGAAGAGCAGAACTTTCAGCAGGTCTCCAAATCACCATCTCCTGCACCTCTGGGTTACTCAGTATGGTACAAGCTCAAGGAACACCCTCTCTTCCCTCCCTCCCTCCAGCCAGCCCCTGTTCCCAGCCCCCAAACATACGTGGAATAGATTTTCTTCTTATTTTTTTGTTTTGTTTTGTTTTTCCAGTTCTTCCTCTTTCACACACCACAGTATTTAATAAATTTTTGTTTTACATTTTTTACACCAATGTAACAAAAGGCAGGAGGGGTCGAGGGAGGAAAAGACAAACAATGATCTGTGGTGATGCATATAAATGGGAGAGGGTGGGAAAGAGGGGGGAGAAGAAAATAAAATAACGTGGAACTTCTACAGAAACATAGCCTAAGGTCTTGATAGTAAAATGTGGTGCAAAGTAGGCCTCAGAGACTGAAAAAGTTTGTACAGCTTTATTCATGGGGAGAGGATGGCGCTGCATGGAGAGTATTGGATGCAAATCGTGACGTGACCAACAGAAAAGGGCGGGGGATGATTCTCTACCAAAGGAATCTAACGAGTGCATGGCATGGCTGGTTAGCACGGACAGGACTTTTAACTTTGCTGCTTTCTCTTCAAAGCCTCCACCAGGTCGTTTTTAAGAGCTTCTTGTTTTGATTTGTCTGCAAAAGTCTGCACAGACCTGCGGGGAAGAAGGAAAGGCGCGTCAGAGGGGAGGGAAGGGCTGGGAGTCGGGAGGAAGGAGAAGCCCCTCAGCCCAGGCTCAGCTCTGCCTGCTGGACCCCGGGAAGCAGAAGGAGATGTGAGCACTCAGAACCACCCAGAACACGGAGCAGAACTCGCTCTGCTGAGGATCAGCACCCACAGCTGCCGAGGGACATCCCCAACCTTTGCTGTGACAGACTGGAAGAAGCCCAGCGCCCCGCAGCGAGGGGGGTTAGCGCTCCTGCTCCCCCAAAGTCCAGAGAAAACCCAGCCCCACCTGGCTGGGGAGCTCTGACCCTTCTGCAGGATTGTTCACCCAGGAAAAGCAGCCAGAGGTTCTGCTCTCCAATCTGCCTGTCTTTGTAGCTTCCCTAAGGAGTGAGTGATGAAAGCAGCTGAAGAGGAACAGAGATACTGTCACAAGGTTATTGCAGGTTTATTTGCCTCAAAGTACAGAGCAAAAGCTCCAGGAGATGCCTGTGGAAAACCTCTGATTTGAGACAATAACAAATTTCCACTTTTAAAGGCCCCTCTTAAATAAACTGATGGAACAGGTTCTATCCAGAACCAGACCTTTCCAGAGCTGCTGCCACAGGGAAGTGGTAGGATCCAGCTGGGAAGGATTTCTCCCCACCTAAAGCACATTTCACAGCCTTTAGTGGAAGCTTTCCCTGCCCATGGCAGGGGGCTGGAATTGGATGAGCTTTAAGGGCCCTTCCAACCCAAACCAGCCTGGGATTCTGTGATTCAGAGCAAGCTCATTTTCCCTGCTTGCTGTCTCCTGTAGACGAGGCTGCTCTTTGTGGTGGCGATTTTCCTACCATTTTTATAACAGTATTTCCATTCTCTTGTCTCTGGGGACTTCTGCTGCTTTAATAAAAACATACACATTTATAATTCCGTTTGTCACAGGCTGAACAAGTGGTTCTTGGCCACTATCAACCAACGGTTGGTCAGCTGAGTGTGTTTGAAACAACGTCTGGAACTGGTTAGGAACTGGAGTGGAAGGTTAAGCTGGCTCAGGGTCAGTCACTGCCGTGCACTCCTGACACTCAGAGCTCCAGAGCAAACGAGCAACAAACCCCTCTGGAGGCTGGGCAATGTCTGGGTGAGCTCAGGCAGGACTGCAGCTCCAGCTCCAAGGAAATCCCAAACCCAGCAGGCTCACGGGGACGGGAGTGTGGACGAGCACACCTTTACTCAGAAATCATGGGAAGAACCAGACTTTTTTTTTTTTTTTCCCCAAACTCCCAAGATTCCATTCTCTGGAATGGACTGGATGGCTGGAATGGATTTCCAAGACTCCCAGGATTTCATTCTGCAGGGAGGACACTGGGATTACAGGGAATTTCTTCATGGAAGTGGCGAACCACAGGTGTAAAAAACCCAGAAACAAAAAACCCCTTCTGGATTGAAGCATCCCGAGCCCACAGCACTCCAGGCACAGGCCCACGTGCTCCTTCCCTGCTCCCAAGCCAGAGTGCAGAGTGGTGAATCCTGCCCCAGTTCCAAGAGCCAGGAGGAGGAAGAGGAGGAGGAAACATTTCAAACAAGAACCACAGCGTTGAGTGGCTGCGCTGAGACAGAGCCCGGGGGCGGCCGGGCTGCGCCGCCGCCGCTCCCTGCGGGATTAGGGGTTAGTTCTTCCCGGTACCATGCAGGGGCTGGGCTGGTGAGTCCTGGTTTAGTGCTGGCTCACACCTCACAGGCAGCGAGGGTACCTGGATTGGTTTAGTTATCAGGCTGGATGTAGATCTGGCGCTGGGTCAACACTTGAGAAAGTTCCCTCTGCAACTGCTTATACTTTTGGTTGTCGGGAATAGCATCGATAGATCTACAGAGAGCAGTGGGAAACCAGGGAGCAAAGAGGGAAAAGAGAAGTCAGGAGAAGTCGGTAACACAGAGCTGGGGCTCTGGGAAGCAGCAGGGAGGAGAAGGGGACACGCAGAGGTGAGAAGGGAAGGGCTGAGGGTGTTCTGGGTGTTTCCATCACACGGGGCCAGGACTCAGAGCGAGGGATGGGGAGACACAGCAGAGATTCAACAGCTCAAGGCAATGTTCCCAAGAGAAAGGTTCTATTACAGATTGACTCTGCTGGAAATAAAAACTTCCTGGCTAAACCCTGCTCAGCACAAAGGAAACTGAGGCTGAGCTGGGCTTGGGGCAGAACCCAGAGCTCAGAACCTCTCCCGCAGCTCCTGCTGCTCCCTCTGCCCACACAGCAGCACCGATGTTTAATTAACATCATTTCCCTCTCTTTCTCCACATCTCAGTGCGTGAGGGAAGAGCAGAGCATTTCTCTGTGCCCTGTGGTTATTCTACATTCCCACACTGAGCTGGGAGGTCTCTCTGAACTTTAAAATGATCACAGTTCTGTACTTTGTGAGCAAGAGAATCACCAGCTTGGGATTTCCATGTCAAATTCCTGGCCAGGAATGAGCAGGGGCTGGAAAGTACAGCACAGTTCCCCTACAGAAAGGCACAGGGAATTTAATCTCTTCTCATACACTGCATTTTGACCAGTGGTGTTGAGAGAAAGAATTTAAAACAAACCCTAAACACCACCAACCACCCACGTCATGACTGAATTCTGGGATTATTTTTAAGGACAGCAGAAAGAGAAGACAGAATTTAAGGAGAGCTTGCAAGACTGTGAAGAATAAAACTGATGAGAAATAATCTGAAAACACAAGTGTTAATTGGGCTGTTCTGCTCCTGGTGAGGGAAAAAGGGATTAAAACATTTCTTCACATTTCTGCAGTAGAAGAGTTCCCTGCACTCCACACAACAAATATTGTCCCAAAACTCAGGGAAAGGGGAAAAAAAAGCAGCTCAAGGCTGGGGTGGCACCACAGGGATGAAAAGGATCTGCAGCTCCCTTACCTCAGCCCATTAACGATGTCCTTTGTCTTTCCAAAATAAATCTCGTTCAGTGTACTTCTGATTTTGTTTTCCATGTCCTGGAAAATAAAGCAGCAGCTCTTGAATCAGCTCAGCCGTTTGCAGGGTCAGTGCAGCCCCCGTGAGCTGCACACCCGGAGCGTTCCCAGCCTTGCCCAGCCCATGGAATTCTCAGCACCACGAGAGGGCAGCTCCTCTCCAGCTCTGCAAGCAGCAAAATCCATCAGCCCAACCCTCCCAAATCAGCCCTCCAGCAAAACCAACAGTCCCCAGCTCTGTGCTCAGGGCTCACTTTGGATTTTTGATTTGTTCCTCAAAGCTGCACCACAGAGCTCTGAGAGAGATCCTGTAACAAAGCAGCTTTCGCTCAACTTTAAAAAAGGGATCCAAAAAGAAGGAGCTGCCTTTCTTTAATTTCCCAGTTCACTAAAAATGCACCAGAGTTGAGGATTTCCTCCTTTCCTGGCTATAAAAATCAAGGGAATGTGGAACAGCTTCAGGACAGTGCAGTGAAACACAAAACTGGTGCTGAGCAGCTCGTGCTGAGCTTCCAGTGCTGCCACAAAACCCAAAACTAAACCCAGTTCCAGGGCATTTCCTAACACTCAACTCTGGGTCCAAGGGGCAGTGCTGTGCAGCAACCTGACTTGAAATAATTCTTCCCAAAAGTGGCTGCAAAAGCAAATATGGGGGGTAGGAAGTTGTTAATTTGAATTAGGGAATTCAAATTAATTTGAATTAGGAATGGGAGGAGGAGACAAGGGGCAGAGGGGTGGCTTTGTACCCACAAACAGGAGGAGCACTGAGCAACAACAGCAAGGAGTGAGTTCTTTGTAATGAGAAATGCAACAAAATCCTGAGGTTTGGGACCAAATCTGGGCAGAAGAAGTCACTCACCTCTACCAAGCGGCCGATATTGGCTATGTGTGGAGAGGAGTCACTCACAGTCTCATCCTTCTCCATCTGCAAAGGAAAGCACAGATCCATCCATCACAGGAATCTGGGGGCAGGGCAGTGTCCAGGAGGGCTGGGAGAAGGCTCTGAGCAGCTCCTCCAGCGTGGAGAACGCGCTGAGGAACCCCCAGCGCTCGCCACGGGCACCGAGATGTGGGGGAATGAAAAGAACAAGAGCCACCCCCTCCCCACTGAGGAACAGCCAGGTGGCTTCTGCAGGAGGAATTCAGAGCTGGAACAACTGCAGAGCACAGTGACACCGGCTCCCTGAAGCAGCTGAGACCTGTCACCCCGACATCAGAACTGGGAGCTGGATTTCATCTGACTGTGCCTCGTGGAACACCCATCCCACAGCCTGCCGAGCTCTGAGCCAAGGGAAAACCCCACCCTCCCCAGCTCCTGAGCTGAAAATCGTGCCCAAAACACGGCCAAGCTGTTCCACAATCAACATCAGACCCAGGAACCTCGGCAGGATTTGCTGAGACAGCACAAAAACAAAACTGGGAGACAAAAGCAGTGGGAAGAGGAGTGTTCAAAGGGTTTCACTAATCCCAGAGACTTCTCTCTTCCATCTGTTCCTGTCCCTCCCTTGGGCACAGTTCAAAACTCTGGGCCAGCCACAGGTTTCTCTCATAAGCCAAGTCTGTAACAGGCTTGGGGAAGCGTGTAATTCACTTGGAGCCCCAAAGGCAAAGGATAACCTGGAAGAGGAGGAGAAAGAGCAGCAGGAGGTTTAATTTTGCCTTCAGACTGTTTACATGGAATGGAGACAGCTGCAGGGACAGTGCAAACCTCAACTACACAAATCTCAGCAAACTGCCCAAATCTGGGGCTGTCCTGTGCCTCCTCCACACCTGGACAGGCCCTGGCTGAGAAGCAAAAGCTGAAAATAGAATTAATTTTTTTTTAAAGGAAAAAAAAAAAAAAAAAAAGTATATTATTACATCTCCATAAAAACTGCTGCCAGAAGGAAAACATTTTTATGTGCTCTGGAAGGCCAGATGTTACAAGAGGCTGTTTAATGGAGTGCAGGATCAGCCATGGCCCACAAACACTTGGGGTTTGTTGAGTTGTTGGGGTTTTTAGAGGTTCCTTCCTGTGGCTGGCGCTGCACAGCTCCAGCAGAACGATTTTTGCTGGATTTGCTGGGAGGGGAAATTCCCTCTACAGGCTGATGTTTAGGAGCAGCTTTCCCTTAATTCCCCACCTGCCTGCTGGGCTCAGCCAGACCCCAGGGTGAGCCCAGTCCAGTCCCAGTTCAGCCCAGTCCCAGTCTAGCCCAGTCCAGCGCAGCCCAGCTCAGTCCAGTCTAGCCCAGTTCAGTCCAGTCTAGCCCAGTCCAGCCCAGCCCAGCCCAGCTCAGTCCAGTCTAGCCCAGTCCAGTCCCAGCCCCAACCCAGTCCAGTCTAGCCCAGTCCAGTCCCAGTCCAGTCCCAGCCCAGTCCCAGTCCAGTCCCAGTCTCAGCCCCAGTCTCAGTCCCAGCCCAGCCCAGCCCAGTCCCAGCTCTCCTGCCTGGCTCCCCCAGCGCTCTGCTCCGACTCTGACTCAGGGAAACTCATTTCTCTGGGATTTCCAGGGCTGGCTGCTCACTCTGGATGTTTCCTGCATGGATTAAAGCAGCTGCCTGGCCTTCCTGTAAACATTATTTGGAGGAATTATACAAAGAGGGACATTTGAGCTGGAGAAACACTTTGTCTCGTGGTGAAAGGGTCTGAAAACACCAGCAAAGGCAGAAGGGAACTCGTCCTCTGGTCTGGCCTGAAAAGCCAACAACAGCCACAGCTGCTCTGGCCACGGAGCAAAGTGAAAATCCCTTTAATGAAACACAAACAGCAACGTGTGCCAAGGGCTCCCAAAGCCACAGGCAGAGGGGCAGGATGAAGGTGGAAAATATGTGGAATTATTTGGGTGTCAGTAAGGCTAAATTTGCATCTCCAGCACTTATTGCAAACTATAACCAAGAAATGGAGGTTGTGATCTCTGCAGGGCTTGTAGGGATCAGCTGAGAACTGAGCCCAGGGATCTGCTGTGTAACATTCCATTCATTTAGTTAATTAAGTAATTAATTAAACACATCCCATTTCCTTCACCAAACCATGGGCAAACCTGGGGGACCTTTACCCACCTGCACCACATCTGAACCCAAGTTCTGCTGCTAAAACCACGACAGGAGCATGAAGAATCTCCCCTCTGGAGCTTTGAGAGGGGAGAGTCAAAGCAAGGCCAAGGTGCACTGAGGACAGGCACCCTGCTCAGACCCTCGTTTTCCTTGGCACAGCTCCTGCTCCGAGGCCACAGCCACAGCCAGACCCTTGGCCTCAACTTCACAGCTCTGATTTACAGGATTAGCAAGGCTGGGATTAACTATGTGGCCAGGTCACCATAACTCTGGTGTAATTACTGCAAAAAGAGGCAGGAAAAAAAGCTCAAAACCGTCTCCAGATGCCTTTTTCCTTCGTTTGCTTTTCCATCGGCTTCTTCAATGTCAACAAGGTGGAAAGAAAAATCACCCAGGCTGGGGCAAGCTGTGCAAGATTAACCCAGTTTCAGTCCCTCTCTGCAATCCCTCCTTGCCTTCACCTGGCTCAAACCTGCACAAAACCAGGAGGTTTTTAACAGAGTCTGCATTGTCCTTTGTGTGGAAAGCCCCAGTCTGCCCTGGGAAGGCTCATAAAGGAGTTTCAGCTGCTGCCAATCTCTCCATGACCTTACAATGTGCCTCCTGTCCTCCTGAGTTTATTACCCTGCTCCACTCGGTGACTTCCAGAGCCCAAAGCAAGCCCAGCTCATCAGCAGGGAGGCAGAAACCTTTGGCAGGTGCTGCAGCCTCATCCAAGGAATTCCAGTTCAGCAGATCCTGCCTGGCAGGGACTGCAGGGATCTGCCAGCCTGGCACCTTCCTGCTGAAAACCAGCTCTCAGGAGGCAGGGAAAGTCATTAATGCTGCCACATTAGGACAGATTTCTCTTATTTTTTTACATTTTTTAGATTTTTAGAAAATAAATTTTTAGATTTTTTTTTTTTTTTTATGCAGGAAGAAAACACCAAAGGAAAATTGTAATTGATGTCCTTAAAAAAAAAAAATCTTACAGTCAGTGCAAAATTCAGGTTTGTTCTCAGTGGTTCAGCTTTTTAAAAGAGAGATGTAAGAAAAGAAGTCATCCTGTGTTTTTATAATCCAGTGAGAAAGTGGGCAAATCTTACAGATAAAAATATCCCTGCAACACTCAGGGAAAAAACAAAAATCCAAGAACACCAAAAGACAAACTGAGACTTAGGAGCAAGTCTAAACTCCTGCTGAAGGTTTTGTTATTTTTAATGGCAAGCCCCAATGTGTCGAGCACAGTTCAAGGGGGCTTTCTGCTAATTACAGGAGATGTTAATTTCTGCTGATTCTCCAGGAGATGTTTATCCAAGAGCTCAGAAAGCCAGGGCTGTGTGGCTGAGCGGGGTGCTGGGTGTGCAGCAGGACACAGCCCTACCTGTCTGGTGAGGCTCCCCCCCAGGTTCATGGTTCCAGAGCCCGTTTTGTTGGTCTGCAGCCACAGCATCACTGTGGAGGTCAGCTTGTAATGGGCAGTGCGGCCACTGGACTTCTCCTGGGAGTGAAAAGGACAAAAAGGGATGGAGACAGGAGGTTAAAATCCTTCCCAAAGTGAAATGGGAAGTGTCAGGCCAGGTAAATCCAACCCCACTCATGGTCTCTTAAAGACAATTCTAAGTGTGCACATTCCTCTTAATTTTCCAAAGCAAATCTAGTTAGAGCAATTTACCCTCCTATTACCTTGTTTTTATTACCTAATTACTGATATTTATCTGTAGCTCTTTATGTTAAAAAAAGCCCCACATCTTGGGATCACATGCACAGAAATAACATTCTTCCAATTCCTCTGGGATTCTTTTTGATTACAAAAACTGACTTATCTCTATCCAAATGGCTCCGGGGCGTTTTCAAAAATTTAACAAGAAGTTTCCAGCCCTGCCACAATCTTGCATTGTTCAGTGGAACACCTGTGCTCCTTAATTGTCTGGAATTAAGTGGGTTTTGTTTTCCCTTGGATGTGTCAGCTGCCCCAGAGGCTGTACCTGAACCTCCACCACGTGGATGGAATCCCAGCATCCCTTAATCTTCTTTGATCCATCTCCAGCTTTCTTAATGAGGATCACCCCGGCAAAGCCATGATCCAGATCCCAGAGGTAGACAGAGGAGACTCCACCTTCAAAATACCTGCAGGATTCAACCCAAAGGTGAGTTAAAAGCAGGCAGGACCCGAGCCACAGTCAGATATCCATAATAATAATCTTAAATAAGCAGAATTTCTAAGAGCTAATACAGATTATTTATTTTATTAATTATTTATTTTATTAATTTTTCTTTCAAGACAGCACACTCCCACAGCTCCACACCCAGAGACACAGCATTAACTATTAACTCCCCTTTTAATTTAAATTTTAAATTCATTAACTCACCTTTTATTTTTCCTATTCACTCAGTTAATTTTTCCTATTAATCCACCTTTTATTTTTCCTATTTACTCAGTTAATTTTTCCTATTAACTCCCCTTTTAATTCAAATTAATTCATTAAATTTAAAAATTTACTCAGCTAATTTTTCCTGTTAACTCACCTTTTATTTTTCCTATTTTCAGTTGATTTTTTCCTATTAACCCTATCAAACCACAGATTAATTTTTGATTTTTATTTATTTTTGATGGGTTGCTCTGCCTCTCCTGAGCCAGGAGCCACTCACCAAGCACTGACAGCACAGAAAAAGCCCAGCCCAGCCACGCTGAAGCCAGGCTGAAGCAGACAACTCCAACCTCCCAAACCAACACAAACACATCCCCTTTTTACACCCCCTGGGGAATTCACAAATGGATTTTGGTTAATGGGAATTCCAATCCTGCAGTGAACCTCAGCTCCAACCCAACTGACCCTTCCTTCAGCACAGAGAAGCGCTTATTGTCCCTCCTCAGAGTCAGATCGCTTTAAAAATATATCTAATATATTAATTTTCATCTAGAGAATCAGTGATCTCACTCCAAATGAACTGGCAGCCACTGGGAACATTGCAGTGTGCACAGACACTTTCCCCATCACGCACTTTACGACCTCGCCACGAGCACGAAACGTTAATTAAGAGTTTGGGGAAATTCATCCTTACCTACTGTACTTTGATCCTAATGACATGAAACAGGAAAAAAAAAAAAAATAAAATAAAAATAATTTTTATGTGGTTCACCTTTATGAGATTTTACATAAAGGCTTTTGTGGGTATTTTAAGAATGTGCTAAAATGTTGTTTGAAACCACATAAAACCATGTGAAGAGCGTCCCGCCAGAAGCAACAGCGCACACATGGAAACGCTTTAAGCGCCTTTGGAGATCTAATGAATCAAATATAATATTAATATTGTTTTAAATACCAACATGCCATTTCAATAAAGCTGCTTTTTGCCACGGCCAGGCCCGGGATCTGGAGATTGGAACAACAACGGCAGCGAGTGAATCCAAGGCACGCCAGGATCTGAATTATCCAAAGGATAATAATATGGATATTATCCAAAATATCAATGTATATCCTCTGTGCAGAGCCACTCCAAAATCCCCTCCTCCTTCATGGGCAGGAAATGCACAGCACTGATCATGACACTGCATTTCACACAGCACTCAGGTGGGATTCCTCAAGGCAGGGAAGTCGCAGCTGGAGAGGAGAATGTTCCTCTCTGGTTTTTTAAAGGAAAATAAAGAGGTGCCACAGGCTAATTGGTCCATAACAGAGACAGATGACAGATTGGGAGGATTTAAATTGACATTTGAGGATTTGGATTTGCTGCAGGAGGGTTGGGATTCCTCCAAGAAACCCTTCCATCCACAGCACACACTGAAACCCAAGCAGGAGAGGAAGCAGCTTGGAAAAGGCTCCAGGAAGGCACAAACTGGGATTTTCTGTTCAAGAAATGCAAGAGCAAGGAGCCAGGCCCAGCAGGGCACCAAAGCTCCTGCATGGAACATCTCTGTCCTTCCTTGGTGGCCTGTTCTGATGTCCCTGGCCCTGATCCTCCACGGCTGCAGAAGGAATCTGAATTCTTTGGGAGCTGCAATCACAGAATCCCTGAGGTCCTTTAAGGTCCCCAAGGTCCTTCAAGGTCCAGCACCACCACACTCAGCACTAACCCACACCCCAAGTGCCACATCCACGGCTTTCCTCAACACTTCCAGGGCTGGTGACTCCACCACTGCCCAGGACATCCTGCTCCAACGCTTCACAACCCCTTCCCTGAAATTTCTTTTCCTCAATATCCAACTTAACCCCCCCAGCACAACCTGGGAGGAGAGACCGACCCCCACCTGGCTGCAACCCCCACAGCATCCAGCAGATGCTTCTGGAATGTTCAGGAGGCCTCAAGCAGGAGGAATTCCTGTTGTGGTACCTCCAACACCCCAAGGGACAAACCATTCTCAAAGGACAAAAGCAACCTCTGCTCCCTGCCTAAGGACACCCATGGGTGCTGCAATCCAGATCAGACTTCACCTACACACAAAACTTTGTTAAAAAACAATGAAAAAACCGTTTTATGGTGGTCATGTCCCTTGATTAACAAATAAATTATATCATAGCTGGGTTCCCTTTATTAATGAACAAAAACACTGATAAATTATATCATAGCTGGGTTCAGTTAGAAGGATCTCAAAAGATCATCAAGACCAACCCCTTGTCCTTGGGGAGGACTTTCTATCTCTGGGAAAATAACTTTTTGTGAGGCTGCCCAGAAAGGTGACTAAAAGGCATCATTAATCATTAATTCTCCTTACAGAATTCAGAACAGCAGTTCACTTAAAATCAATTAAAGTTTTAATGTCACGATCAAACACTGAATTTTTATATTCGTTACTCCTCAACCACAGAACTCCTGGAAAAAGCTGTTTTATACAAAAAATGTCACACTTAAGACTGACCTACTTTACAAATGCAAGAATAAAAGAAAATATTTAATCTAAGAGTGATCCAAAGCTTTATGAAGTGTTTGAAGTTGCAGCGGGTGGAGCCAGAGGATGGAAACTCGTCTGAGGAGCCGGAGCTGTAGCCATGAAATAGAAGCTGTGGCCAGAAGAAAGCTGTAACTTCAAGAGGGATGTGACAGGGGAGGAAATCCCCCAGCCCCAAGAAAGGAGAGCAGATTAATCACTTTGTTTTACACGGAAGGACAGCTCAGAAAAGGCCCCGTGACTCTCCTGGTAACGCTCTGCTCCCCCGAGACATCGCTGCGGAGAAAACGACTTTTCACCCCACAGCAATAAAAACAAGCCCTGACTTTCAACTGCAGAACCAAATCACTCATCCATATAAACATTTGTGCATTTTTCCACTCAGAGACAAAAATCAAGAATTCTGTGGCTTATGGCACTCCCAACCCCCTGATGCCAAAGACACCTGGAAGCTCAGCCTGGCTCTGCAAACCTTCCCAGGGTTTCAAACTGGCTCATTTAAAACAGAAAAATAGATTTCCTTTTATTCCCTAAAGGTCACACAGTTATTTCTGCCAGCTCCAGAAGTTCAGCTTCTGAAACTAGAAAACAGAAAATAGAAAGGGGGGATGTCTCCAGCTATTTAAATCAACAGACTTCTGAGGAAAGTGGCATTTAAAACTGCTGCCCCAAAGGCAAACGCTGAGCATCCAGCTCCACGTGTTTGCACAAGAGTGACAATGACTGCACTCACAGCAACCCAAAACATTCCCCAAATGCCGAGGTGAGGGAGCAAACACTGCTGCTCTCATGGCAACAGGAGTGACAAAGTGGTGACACAATTGCCACCGAGCCCGTCCCCTGTCACCAGCACGGGAATCACAACGGGAACATTGCGGAATATTGAAGGAAGCAGCAAATTCCAGCAACTTCCACCTTCCAAACTCAGGTGTTGAACAAATCCCCTGCAGACCCACACCTCGAGGAGGAGGAACAAACCCTTCAGGAGGTCAGGTAACAATTGTTGCCTCCTCATTTGTCGGAGTTGTTTGATGGAAGGATGGGCTGGTAGCAGGAGTGAGCAGGATGTGACATTTGTCCCTCTGATCATCCACAGCTCCTCTCTCCTTCCCTGGCTCCTCCACAACCTCACCCAGACACTGAAAATGAAGAAGGCAAAACAGCCCAGGGGTTTTGCACCCCCACTTGATGAACTCAGCCCAGGGGGGCTCTCTACAGGTATTTTACAGGAATTCTTTCCAGCATACACAGGTGCAAAAATCCCTGGAGCAAACATACCAATCCAGTTAGGTATGTGTAACTTCAGTGCCAGTTGTACTTAAAAGCACACATCTGGACCATGGTGGGATGACTCAAACTGCTCAGCAGAGCTGTGAAGTGCAGGAACTCTGCAAGGAAGGAAAACAGTATCCAAACAATGGGATCCTGAAGGCTGAAAGTATCCCAAAAAATTTAAAAAAAAAAAAAAAGCCAGGTTTGTGCTTTCTAGCACCTTTCATTAATGAAAACTGCTCTGCTCACATTTTCCTTCCCATCTGATTGCTCCTGGCAGATGGAATTTAAGCACCAAATCCCTTTGGAGAAGTGACCTGGGAAGAATTCCATCAAATTTCCATCAAGAATTCCATCAGCCACCTAATGAGCAGGACAAGGGGTCGCTCTGGAACGTGTCCAAACGAGGGAATTGCTTCATTAGCACCAGGAAACTTCCCAAGCCTCCTCCTGTGGCCATCCTCACACTGCCACATCCCAGCTGAAATCCAAACCTGGACAGAAATCTTGTGCTGTCGTGGTTTAAGCTTGCCAAAATCTTTGGAGGGTGAGGATTTCACGTGGCATCAATTCTCCAACAGAAGAATTCTGTATCAGATCTGCCACAAGAAGGCTGATGTTGTTTAAGTTTCTTTTCAAATTCCATCATTAAAACACTTTTGCATTTGTGAGGGCACGAGGTAAATTTCTGTCTGTGCAATACAAAGCATTAACTGAGTTCAAAAATTCAAGATCACAATAAACAGAGAGTTTAAAACTTCATCTCATTTTTAAACCTAAGTCATTTCTTCCTAGGGATTTAAAGCCTTCAGGGAGCAGTGTTTGAGGACAGTGCTGCATCATCAATGCTGACCTCCTAATCCAAGTGTTCAGTTTTTATGTAATTACAGAGAACCCTGGGAACCCGAGGGAAAACCTCCTCCTCCTCCACCCAACATCTCCGATTCACAAGATAAGAATGCAGTGT